TCCAAATGAGAAGGTCCTGGTTGAGCCCTCAGCTGTGACTTCTGCCCTACTATTCCCCTTCATATTACAGTGTTGAGGGAACAGACTCAGGGCACTAATTGTACCAAGCACACCAATAAGTCAACTAAACAGCCAATAATCTCATTAATGCACCAGTAGCATCTCAGGGCTATTTATACCACTTTGCACACAGCTATGAAGCTACTAATCAAGTCTTACGAACCACACATGATGCTGTTGAGTCACCCTTCCCTCCCACAGCACTTAGCACTAGGATGCACATCTACCCCACTTTGCTCTGCCCTCCCACAACAATTCTTTCCAGGATAGACCTGATGTAGAGTCCAGCAGGTTGTTCAAGGAGTATCACTTCAGCATTCCTGTGAGCTTGAGTCCTCAGGCTTTGCTATCATCCAGACACCTGCAATCCTTCAGTCAGCTGATCTCACTTTTGTCTCATTTTATACATTACTCTCTAATTTCAGGATCCACTTTTTCTGCCACGTTCATGCTTTCTTTACCTCAGTCTCCTCCCAAACAGCCAATCCACCCAGATTATTTCTTCCTCAGTTTTGCCACATCCATAATTAAGCCTGACAATTCTGATATCGTTACCTTGGTAATCTCAGCCTTATGTGGTATTACTGATATGGTGCAGGTGGCCTTGAAAGGTTTTACCCTGCAAGAGCTGCTTCAGACACTCCATAATTATTTGGTTCCTCCTGGTTATATATTGTTTACTTTACACACTCCAAGACAAATCATTCAATTCCAGCCTTAATTCCCATACCCAGCTCCAGTTACCTACCAGAACTTTCTTATCTTACACAAAGACAGTTTGCATAACAGAACAACATGTTTTGTACTTCCACAGCATCCTACTCTCGCAGCTGCTCGATTACAAATCTTTGTCCTTGAAGTGCTCTTGGGAGAGTCTCCTGATACCCTGCAAAGGAGTTAATGGATGATACAGCCAGGTTCTCCAGAGGGAGGTTGTGCCCACAGTGGGTTTCCTTTGTTGACAAACACCAGTGTCACAGAAAACTATTTGCATTTTAACTCTTTCTCCTTTAAATAGACCCTATGCCCACATATCCTGCATTGAGGATGGATATGCAGAAGTACAGAAGGCATTATCTTATGCATTTACACTACATCTTCCCAGAGCGTCAACACCCTAAACAGTAGGACAGGAAAGATTATCCGCTCTTTGGGGTTGTATTACATACAACATACCCCTCTGGCATATAAGGGAGTTTTCTGTTACAACAGCAATACACACTGCATTTCTAGTGTAAGTTCAAACATCTGAGCTAGAACTACCCATGGGAATACTGCTCTTATTGCATCCCCAAGGCAGACAGCTGCAGCATCTGCTGATCTACAACTTTGGTATAACTTTAAAAAAAAACAACCAACTACCTTCTGTTATGTACAGAACATAGCTCACAAATAACATTATTGATTTTTTTTAAATAGGAATCAAAAGAAAATCTTGTGTTTCCAGGAATACAATCACTCAGGCTTTTCTGTGTCATTTTTTCCAAATTAAAGTGTTTAAAGCCTCTCATCACACAACAACAATGATTTACATTAGTATCTTCCACAAGCAAGTAGTGCCAGGAATATTACAGAGTAGAGCACTGGCAGGAGTCAATACTACAGCCAAGTTATGCTACTGTACATGGACTGGCACCCACATGATCAAACAGCAGATGTGAAAATGGCACCACCTGCAAAGGGATTTGTGTTTTTAAGAAGCCAGGCAAAATACAGAACATCTCAGTCACATACTGGTCTGCTACTGCAAACATTAAAGATAGCATATAACTGCAGAAACATTGCAAAACAGCCCAGTCTATAAGTGCAGAACATAGAGAGAGATTTGCTGGGCATATGTGTACTCACATGTGGAGAAAAGACAACCAGGAGAACACCTTCACTTAACCAAGGAGCAGTAGGGTACACAACCTGATCCTAAGAAAGCAGGTTATTTCCACAGGCTCTTTTTCACTCAAGTACCTTAGGGATACACAGAGAGTAAAGAGATACCCTAAGATACTGCATTAGACCTAATAGAAGCTTTTCCTGTGGTAACTAAGGCAGCAAAACTTGTCTGAACATGCCTTATACCTTAAGATGATAACAGGAGGCTCATTCCTTCAGCAATTACATTACATGCTCAGACAGGGAACAAGAATACAGGATACAGGTAAAGAAGCAGCTAAAATCAGCACACAAAGCCAGCATGGAAAAACCTCAAAAGTACTCACCAAAACTTTGGGTTCTTTCTCAAGTCAGTAAAACTTAAAGAACTGTAGCCTTTAAAGCAACAGACTAACTGACACAGAAAAGAAGCCCCCATTAAACACTACAAAAATAAACCTTCCACTTTTCTCTCAGTGCTACTTCCCCCCAAGCTTTTTACTCACACTCAGCTACAGCTAAGCTGGTATTTGTACTCACAGCTCATCCAGGTTGTAATTAAGTAAGAAGCCATATCAGTGGCTCCCATCAGCACTATGTTATTGTAAGCACCTGCACTGTGCTGGACCTTCACAGACAGAAATCTCCACAGGAGTTTTAAATAGGTGACTCCTTCTGTAAGGTCAGCTCATCATCACCCAGCACAACAGCAGCAGTAGTGCAGCTCCTTTGGGATACTTACTGATTCTGTGATCTTAAAGGTCTTTTCCAAACTAAATGATTATTTGATTAGTGCCTTATGCCTTGCTCTGCTGCAGGTGATCTCAATAGCTGAAGCTAAATACCTACAAATCACTCTTTAATTACAAACCATGTTGATTACAATTAGTTGTCTGGCTTCTAGGAATTTATAAAAATAACCTGCTTAAGAAGCTACTAGTAAGTCTAATGTGCAAAACCATTGGCAAGTAATAGTGTGCAATAATACCTTTCTGTGCACAGCAATTGGCTTTTGCTTCAATTTTTCGTGGTGAAATTTCCCCTGGTGAAATTTGAGAACAGCTTAATGGAAGCAACTGTTGCAGTGCGAGACCAAAGGTGATACATATGCTGAACAAAGGAGTTGCTTCTTTGAGAGAAAGAGCCACAGAGAGATCTTAAATGATAATGGACAATAATAGTCCCTATTTTCTGAAATACACAGGATGAATGGAAATTAATCATGGGAGAGAAATGCAAGTCTCTGATTACGAAGAACAGAGACAGGATATTTGCTGGATTACTGCCCCACCTTCTGAAGCAGCCATGTATATATTTTTGTTCCCACTAAATTGTTCTGCAGCTTGGCACCTGCTCCTTGGAGAAGAGGAGGCTCTGGGGAGACCTCACTGCTCTTTACAAACCCTGACAGGAGGTTGTGATGAGGCAGAGGCTGGTCTCTTCTACCATGCCTGCAGTGAGAGGGACAATGGAGATTCAGATTCAATACTAGATATTTTTCGTTTGAGTGATCAGGCATTGGAATTGGTTGCACAGGTGGTGGAGTTCCCATCCCTGGAGGTTTTCAAGTGGCCTCTGGAAATGGCACTGGGTGATACGGTTTAGTGGCTTACAGGTAACAGTGGTGGCATTGGGCTGGGAGGTGGACTGCGTAAACTTGAAGATCTGAAGCAATATCGGTGATTCACGATTCCCTGACTCCAAGCTCTGGCGTTCCGGCCAGGCCGCGTTTCCATGGCGACGGGCGGACTGACCATAGAGGTGGCGTCACACCAGAGAGGCTCGTGCGGCTGGGGGCGGGGACATGCAAATAAGGGAGCGGAGTGCCCTCACATGCGATGGCCGCCGGGAGGTGCTGGCGGCTTCACTTGCCAGGACGCAAAATGGCCGCGGGGCGGGGTTGGGGGTGCGCATGCGCGGCCGCGCTGTGCGACGGCGGAGCGGCGGGGGAGCGCCGGTACCGGACGCAGGTAGGAGGCGCTGACGCGGCGCGCGGGCGTCTCTCCCGCCTCATCGCTGGTTCCGGTCTGTCTCCCTCCCCGTCGTGTGGTAGGCTGGCGGCCCCTCGTCCGCTCAGTAAGGTGCTTCGGGTAGGGTGGGAGAGACAATACCCCCCGGGGGGCCGCCTCTGCGGGGCAGGGGGCACCCCCTGTCCTTGCAGTGGTAGAGCCCTGGCGGATATTCCGTCTTGTTTTCGTGGATGATTCCACTTCGGGCCTGGGGGTGCCGTCGCTCCCTGGTCTCAGTGCCCGTGGGCAGGGGGCTCAGCGCTGGAGCCGGGTCTGCCTCCCGGCAAGGGGAGGCGGCTCTGGCATCGCCCTCTTCTCCCCGAGTGTGCTGCGGGTCTCTGGTGTCCCTGCTACTCCTTCCCTCCCTTCACCTGGCAGGCTTCAACCCACTGCCATGGAGCCTGCGGGAGAGCCCACCAGGGAAGGATGGCAGCGCCTCTGCCTGGCCACCCAAGGTTGCCAGGCCTCTCCTCAGCGTGGAGGGTCCTGCGGATGGGGCACAGGGATGGCAGCGCTGCTTGGGCATGTTCAGAGTCACGGTGTCCCCATGTCCAGCCTGGCTCCCTGTGCTCCTGTCCTGCCCAGGAGGCCAGCGGCTGCAGTTGGGGACCCACTCAGTGGCGTGTGGCCTTGTGGCTGCAGCCGGGGCCCTGTGCAGGGACGGTGCCCTGGGAGGTTGCACAGGTGAAGAGAATCCCTGTTCCCGGGAAGATGTGTAGCAGAAACTCCTGGTGACTGCACTTGGCTGAGTGGTGAAAGTTGCTTCTCGCCTGCAGTTTCCTCTTAAGTCTTAACAAAGAACAGGCAGAATGTGTGCAGTAATCCCCTCTTATAGCTCCTTTGAAGCAAATCTTGGGGTTTGTTTTCAATGATGATTTCAAATTTACTTCTAGTTTTGTAATTTGAGGCCAGAGCTACCTGGCATTGGTTCCCATCCTTGTGCTGTGAGGTCCATTACAGGATTAGAACTTATATTGGCAGTAAATGATCAGGAACAAGTTTTTTAATACATCTAACACACTTCCTTTACACTGTAAAAGAATGAGTTCTTTAGACAGGGGATGTTGCATGTTGTTAAGGTAAAAGCCTTGCCAAGTTCCATGGCTATGAAATCTGCCCTGTTATCTCTGTATTGACAAACCTTGTGTTCTTATTAGGCAATGAGATCTGATTGAACAAGATTGCTCAGCTGGAGCACAGCTCCACGGAAGCTACCAGCTGGTTCAAGGTATTAATTGTCTGTGTGGCAGTTGTGTTTGCGTGTATGAACTCAGCAGGGGTGATGGAAGCACATGATTGCTTGTAATAAGAAGGGTATTACTTAATCTTATGATGCACAGTCATCAATTGTTGAATTGGTAAACAGTACTGGGAAACACCCTCGTAACCTCTTTCAGTCATGTTTCCATGCCTGATCCAGGTGGTTTCAAAGTTTTCATTTCTTCACACATCAGATACAAAGCTGCTGGGAGCCTGCTTTGGGATGTTTGTTCATGTTTCACACAGGACTGTGTTTAATGTTCTCTCAAGAGTCCTTGTTACTAAGGGATTATCTGAGGGTGTTAGGAGGGTTTCAGGAGAAGTATGGAGTGGAGAAACTGAGAGCCTTGGAGTTATATTCATCTCTAAAAGGGTGCACAATATCCAAGTTTTGTCAGAGGAGCCTAAATTTTATGAAATGTGTATCTAGGAAGGAGCTTTCCTGGGACAGAAATAGGATTTTGAGAGTTTTTTTTTTTTGTTTAAGTGGAGGCTCTGTTGGTTTCATTCATTCACATAGCTCTGTGGGGGGATTCTTATTTTACTGACAGAGTTCTGCCAGAATCCAGGTAGCTTTGTGAGGTGAGGACCCTCTGAGATGTATTGTGGAGGTGTCCTGGGGTACCACATGTGTGAAGGAAGGAGTGTGCAGAAGCTGGTCTGTGCTCCCAAAATGGGCTCATCACTGACAGATAACCCTGACCAGACCAAGACATCCGTGACTGTCACTTGCAGGCTCTGGGAGGAGTTGATGTGCCCAGCACCAGTCACAGGGCATCAGCTCTTCCACAGGTGCAGCTCCAGCCCAGCTTCCCTGTGAGTGGGGCCACACCCCCAGCACCCCAGTCCTGTCTGGCTGTGACAAATGTCTATAAATAGGGTTTTCTCTCAGGTGGTTTTTCCAGCTGCTGGGTGGATTTATTGTGTGGAAGCTGCAGACATACAGAGCTGGCTTAGTAAGCCCTCAAAACCCAGAATATGCAGCAGAGGCAGTGTAGTGGCAGCTCAAGCAAGCACAAACATATCCTAAAGTATTATTTGGGATTCCAGCTTGCATTACCCACACAGGGGAGAATGAACACAAGAGCCATCCTGATACTGCAGGCAGGTCTGCAGATGGCTGTTTCAGGTTGCTGAGTGGCAACTTGAGCACATAAAAATCATCTGGCCCTGCTTAAAAGGTTGGCTTGAGCCAAGATTCACATGTATGGCTCTGTTGCTGGCTCAGTACAAGTGGCTTCAGCTGTGGAAGGCTGGAGCTCAGCCTTGTAGTAAGGCCAAGGCATTGCCGAATCACCACGGGACACAGGGACTCGTGCATCCAGCTGTGAGCTGGCTAGGAACTTAGAGCACATGTGTGAGCCCCAAGCTGTGGTGTGTTCCAGACACAGCTGGATGCCAGCACTCTCAAACAAAAGCAGTGCTTTCCTGGTAGCCAGTATTCCAACATCCTCCTCAGGAAGATAAGATCTGTGGACGTCACTGGCAGGAGCCAGATGTCAAATGCGGAGGAGGAAGTTTCTCAAATAAAGACTCATTGCTTTTTAATTTATGAGCTTGTTCCTTTATGACTGTGTTAGAGGTTCAGTGTGAATGAATGATGGCTATTCCCTCCTGCAGCTCCTTTTCCCATTCCTTCTTACAGCCTCATGTTGAAAAGTTCTGACATACTCCATGAATAATTCTCCATCCCAAGGAAAAGGTTATGAAAATACCAGTGTGGCAGTAACACAGTCCTTTGGGTGTAGAAGTGAAATCTGTTTTTTACAGACAACTGTGATTTGTTTCCTTTTAACTGCACATTTGCAGATGAGGAGGGAAAAAATATCTAGCAAATGACCTAATGACTATCCTAGCAAAAGTGACATCACTGGCAAATATCAGCTGGCTGGAGGGGTTGCACATCTGTGAGGGAGTGATGAGGGAGCAGAAAGGAAGTGGAACTTCACCCTCTTTGAACAGTGCTGTAGCATTTATATGACAAAATGAGGTGTCTCTGGAAATTTCAACAGCTGTGGTTTGTGCAACATGTGCTCAGTGAAGCACTTTTTGGATGGGGACAGCATGAAGTGCAGCACTGAGACCAAGTCTTGAGCAGGCTCTGCTTTCACTCAGCTTTTGGATAGCAAAGGCAAGGCCAGGATAAGAATCACCCTAGTAGGTCACACTGTTAGTCTGTCTGTCCCCATATCCTGCCCCATGATGGCTGCAGGAGATGCTTTTTAGGGGGAGAGCACACGAGTCTGGGCACCCTTTATGGCCTTTCCACTTGTCCACCCCCAGCCTGCACAGCTGGCTTGGGGCGGTTAGAGGCGATTTCCCTGCCTTATTCCCTTTAGTAGCTGTTTGTGTACAGCTGTTTTCTGTGAATTTGTCTAATCCTTTGAAGCTGCTGCCCAGCTCTCTAATATCCTTTGGTAGTGAATGTCAGGTGTTTACTACCTGCCAGGAAAGAAATATTTTAAGCTGACTTCCTGTTAGTTACAGTGAGTGTTCCCAGTTCTTGTGTCCTGACAATTCCATGAAGGGGCCTGGCACACCATTGTCTTCATCTCCTCTTCAGTTGGTCCTCCGCAGAAGACTTTTGGCGAGAGACAGGGGGCTTACCTCTGGGGCAGAGGACTTAGCTCTTGCCTTAACTCTCCCTTCTTCTTAACCTTTGTCTTTACGCATTGTGACTCCTTTCCAATTCTTGACCATACAAAAAGAAATTTCCCCTTGAGGCTTGTCTGTCTTTAATTACGTCTATAAAGGTTCATTGTCTGGCTGAATTCTCTTCCAAGCAGTGTCTTCCTTTTTTCTGGCCATGGGTTTTGGCCTGGCAGGGATGCAGAATGGTGTCTGAGCTCTGCAAGGGCTCTGCAGTTGGATCCAGTTGAGGTCTAGTGCTTTGGCTGGGAGTGGAACCGAGGTGCAGTTTCAATCTAGTGATGTAATTGATTGGAACAAATGCTGTTCCTGCTCCTTCTGAACTAGTTATGAGGAATTCCTTGGCCTAGGCAGAGCAGATGGTTATTTTTGCTTTTCTAATCTTGCCTAGAAGTGGTCAGGCTCATGGCTTCAGGGAAATGCTGAATGGGACTGGCCTTTTATCAGGTTTCATACCCAGACGTTTATTCTTCTGCTTGATTTCCTGCTTGGACTTGCTGCAGCTGGTGTTGCAAGCCCAAGAGGATGGTGTGGTGCGTAGGTTCCTATTTCTTATGTGTTCAGTCTTATCCCACATTGCAAAGCCCCCATGATGTATCTGAGGTGGGTGAATGCAGACCCCGGAGGGCTGAAACAGGAGTGGCACACAGCCCTTTATCTTGCTTTTGACAGTGCCAAGATAACCTTTTTGTCACCCTTCATGTGTGTGCTGTGAACAGGGCATGATGGCATGGGCTGGAGAAGCTGACTTGTACTGATTTAAGAAACCCTTATGTCTCACATAAGTGCCTTGTGTTTTGCCTTGGGTCTGTAGCAACTGTCATGTGAGAGAGGGCTCAGCCTGAAAAGCACAAGAGAACCTTTCTGGCCCCAGCTCCTGGCCACAAGCTCCAGTCGGTGCAGGTGTGAGGAGTCCTCCTCTCACACTCAGCCCCTTGTGAACATACAGCGACTTGTTCTGGTCTAAGGCTGCTGTGTCCACGTGTTTTATTTCTGTGTATGTTGCTGTCCAGCCAAAGCACCTTTATCTCAGACTATGGTCCTAAGACTTAGGTCACTCCAAGACAAGCTGGACAACTGCTAAGGCACTTCTGGTTACCTTTATTGCATGATGGCAGCATGCCTGCTGCAGTTGTGTTTTGGTCGTGTCTCTTCATGCCACAAAGCAGCAGCACTGCTCACCATAAATAACTCCTATCTGAGCCAGCCCAGGTGCAGTAAGCTGTGACTGCCTAGGGAAAGCATTGTGCACATGTGAGGTTACATCACAGCTCCTGTCATTTTTATTTGGATAAAAATTTATGTGAGTACCTAAAAATACCAGTGACTAGGTGTGTTTTCTGAAGGCTGCTTTGTTGTTTGTAGCTATCTGGCTTGATTCTTCCTCTGACCTTGCCTTTAAAGAACTGGATTAATTGTCTGCTTGCTGGATAACAAAGAACATTACAGGGTAAAGGACAGGGCAGGCTCCTCAGGAGGAGGCAGCCATACCCCCAGGAGCCCACAGCCCGGCTTCAGCTTAATGAAACAGCTTTAGTGCAGCAGACAGCTTCTAGTCTCTTAAATCCCCTCCAATCCACTTTGTAGCAGCTCTTCAAAACAATACAAATTCTGATTGCTGCATACAGAGATTTACCAATTAACTTAATCTGTTAAAAAAATTGATCTGTTTGCATTTATCCTAGGGTGACATTATGATGCTTGTATCCCCATTCATGTGTTTTATTTATTTTTTTTCTCTCCTGCAGGAGCAACAATGGATTGGCCCCATCAAAGATGTAGTAGGTGTTGGGAGAAGACATCTCACCTGAAATGGAGGTGATCGAAGGAGCTGAACACTGACTGCACCAACATGGGGCTGCGACTGCTGGCTTGTCTTTTCCATTTGCCCACTGCAGTGATCTACGGGTCTCTGTCGCTCTTTGTTTCCATTTTGCACAACGTGTTCCTCCTGTACTACGTGGACACCTTCGTCTCTGTTTACAAGATTGATAAACTGTCCTTTTGGATAGGAGAGGTTAGTTTTTTCCATCGGCTTCTGCACTCTCTAAGTTGGAAACTCTGAAACCAAGACTGCTCCTTGCTAGAAATGTGAAAACTGTTCATTGTAACAGCAGTGTTCCCTTTTGGAGAGGGAGCGAGGGAGCCTTCCAAGTACTAACTTGGGCTTTTCAGTTTTTCCCACCTACATAAAAATAGAACAAGCTGTGACAGAAAATGCAGGAACTTTGTTCTTAAGACTGCCTTTCCTCTGGGGATGTTGGGGTGTTTCACAAGCAGTGAAAACCACTGGTCTTACTGCCAGTTGCCCCAGACAGGGGCATCATACAGTGGTGATGGGACAGGGAAGGTGTGCTGGGACAGTTCCTGCTGGTAGCTCAGCATGCCAGCTCAGCACTGCTTGCTTTGGTGACAGAACGGAGCTGTCCTGTGGTTTGTTTCACTGTCCTGTGCTTTATTTCACTGTCCTGTTTTCTTTCCTAGACAGTGTTTCTGATCTGGAACAGCCTCAATGACCCTCTGTTTGGCTGGCTGAGTGACCGAGTATTCCTTAGCACACAGCAGTAAGTGGAGTTCTGCTTTCACAAGAGTCTGGGAAGTTGTTTAGTCTCTGGGGAAGATGATGTCAAATTGGCAGCTTTAAAAAGATGGCGTGGGAATGGATTACTGGGCATGGAACTCTTAAATACCTCCTTTTCATGGCATCTTTGAAGTTCAGTGCTCATAAATGTTGTTTCAGTACTTGCCTTTTTAGAGAAAGTCACACACACTTATTGGGTGGATGTGGCCCTAACCCTTAAAGTCATGAGTGGTGCAGAACCTAAAATATGGGCATCTAAAATCTCAAGCCCCTGCTATATGACCAAGCCTGTTGATGGGGTGTTAGAGAGTGTGTACATGGTTTGGGAGGCACAAGTGGGAAAAGTACAGTTTATTTCCACATGAAATGCCTTAGACCAGTTGTTCCCAAACTCTCTAGGATGGAAGGCAAGACAGCTCTGTATTGTTGGCCGTTAGTATTTCTCATGTATTTATGTCAACATTTTAATGAAAATAGTGGTGTGGCTTCCTGAAACTAGTAAAAAGTCATGAAAATCATTTACATTGCACAAAGTGCAGACAGTACTGCACTGTCAGGGAGACAAATGCTCTAGGAAAAAAAAAATCCCTTTTTGGCTTTCTTAAACCCATATTTTCAGTGTATTCACTGTTAGCTGAGAAGGTATCTGATGTGGGTGGTTGTTACTTGAACAAAAGCTGTATTTGTGTCTGTGCCCTTACATGACTTCCTTGGAGAGGAAAAATATGTGATCATGCAGGGTTTTGTCCAGGTATTTTTATATTAAAAAAAATATAAAATTTTTTTTCTTCTGTTGCAGGGCAGGAGCAGAGATTTCATCCCCTGAAGTAGTTCTGAAGAGGCTCAGAGCACTAAGCCACAATGGCCCCCTCTTTGCCATTTCTTTCCTTTCTTTCTGGGTTTCCTGGGCTCATCCTGGTTTGCAGTTCCTCCTTTGCCTTTGCATGTACGACAGCTTTCTCACCATGGTTGACCTCCATCACAACGCCTTGCTTGCAGACCTGGCTGTTTCAGCAAAAGACAGGACGAGCCTCAACTTCTACTGCTCCCTCTTCAGTGCCATAGGCTCCCTGTCTGTCTTCATGTCCTATGCAGTGTGGAACAAGGAGGACTTCTTTTCCTTTCGCATATTTTGCGTCCTGCTGGCCCTCTGCTCCATTGTTGGTTTCACCCTGTCCACACAGCTGCTCCGCCAGCGGTTTCAGGCTGATGGGAAAGCGAAATGGGACCAGGAATCAACCCTGAAAGAGTAAGGGTCACGAACTATCAGCAGAGACAAAGGCCTGATAGATCTGCAGCAAACTAAATGTGTGAGAAGATCCAGAATGAGGCAAAATTTGTTAATTATCTCTCGTTCTTGTCTATTAATACAGTTTTCAGGATCAGCTGTCACACTGCCTCCTCTGAAAATAGAACAAAACTGTCTTGTGTCAGCCCTAGTCCAAACTGGAGGCAGAGGCCTAACCTGCTATATGGCCATCCAGTGTTTGGAACACAAAATGAATTCATGTCTAGAGCACCCAGTGAGGCCTATGAGTGGTAAAATGTCAGAAGCAGCTTATGAAAGCATTCGTGTTTGAGCATGAGACCACATTGCTGCCTATGTCCTACGGAATTGGACAAGTGAATGTCTGTCTCTGTCACTCAGTTCAGCTGCCTGATAGTGGCTGAGCTGTTGGTAGGCCACACCAAGCTGATTTTCCCTGTTCAGCTCAGTCCTTGGGCTGCCTCACTTGTCATCTCTTGTTATGAGCTGCCAGCATTATGCTGTAGTAGCAGCAGATCCTGATGAGATCTGCCAGGTGAGCTAACTGCAGGGACCTGGAAGAGGAAGGCATGTATAGTGGAATGGCAATCAAGTTATAGACTCCACTGTTTTGATTGGTCCAGGAATATGAAAGGTCAGGGTGGGGGCTAAGGAGAGACAGCTCTGCATCTACACAGGGAGAGCTGGTGACTCTGTCTTGGTGTGAGGGATTTATGGTTGCTTTTTATCCCTCCTTTTCCTTGAGGCTGTACATTGAGAAACTCTCCGTCCCCCAGGAGAAGAGGATCACCCTGGCAGAGTATCTCCAGCAGCTCTCCCGGCATCGTAACTTCCTCTGGTTTGTCTGCGTGAATCTCGTCCAGGTAGGCACAGAAGTGACACACTGCGATTCGGAGGATGAGTGCTGGCTCTGGCTCTTTGAGATGGATGATTCAGCAGTGTGTAAGTTCCTGAGGAAGGGCAGAGATGTTCCCAGCACCCACTTGCTCTTGGAGCCTCCTGCACATGCTGGCTGATTCAGCAGCTGGTATCCACTCTCCCTGCTTGTGACAGGATACTTCTGAGCAAGCTGTGGGGTGCCCCTTCCTCTCTCTGCAGTGTAGGCTGGGTTATGGAGGCTGACTGAGCTCTGTGCAGCCCATATGGGGTGCAGAAGCACAGGGCCTGGCTCACAGAGGGGATGAGTTTAGGAGTGCTGTTTGCTGGCGTGGCTGTCAGCACAGTCTCCTTTCCCTTTCCATTTTCCTGAGGCTCACATCACTGTTCTCGCTGTCCAGCTGGATCCATCTCTCAGCTGGCTTTTACTATTTCTGTTCTTCACCCTCTTCAGTGATGACTACCAAATGCCGGCAGCCTGCCCAGCTTTGTGTGCTGCAGTCATGGCTCCCTGAGGATCCCTCAGTTTCCCTCAGGCAGATGCTGGTCTGCATCTTTGTGTTCAAGCCTCACTGCTTTACCGATGTCCTCCTGCCGGCTGCCTCTTCCCTCCTGCCATGCCACTGTCTCTCCCAGCCTCTGGTCACTGCTGTCACCTGCTGGCCCTGTCTGCCCTAGCAGCACTGTGCTGTACAGCTGGGCAGTGGGGCTGACTTGGGCACAAAGTGGGCATAGCTGATGGCATTGCAGCTCTGCAATCTCAGCCAGCAGTGTCAGAAATGTCACAGCCAAGGTCTTGCTCTGCTGAAGTACTCCAGGCCTATCCTGCATGATCCTTTGGCATGGGGCTCCTAGGATAACAGAGCCCAGTGGGCTGTTAGCCTTTTCTGTTCTTTCTCACTGCTATTCCTGCTGACCAGCTTGTCTGCATGCTGCCTTCACAGGTTTTTCACTGCCATTTTAACAGCAACTTCTTCCCTCTGTTCCTGGAGCACCTGCTGTCAGACCAGATCTCTGTCTCTACTGGATCCTTCCTGCTTGGTGAGTTTCAGGTGGGACGGGAGGGAGCGGCTAAGTTACACAGGACCTGGCCCAAGTCTGGGTTTGCCCTTCCCAAGCTCCATCTGGGGAGAGGTGTGCTCACATGCAGGACTCTGCACGCACCCCACGTTTCCCTGGGACCTCTGAATTGTCCTTCCTGGGCACAGAAGTAGCTCAGAGCCTTTTCTAGTAAGGACAAGCCTGGTGTGCTGGACACCAGACTCCAGAGAGGTATTGCTCAGAGCACTGGAGGCTGCAGAATGCAGTGTTCCCAGGATGCAGCAGAGAACACAGCCCTAGATTTTATCCCTTTTCTTCTGCAGCATACAGACTATTTCCAAGCTACCACAGATATGTGGGCATTGGTCCTAGAGTTACCCTGGGAGGGTTCTGTGCAGGCCAGGTCTGGTCAGGCAGTCCTGCCTCTCTCATTTCTGCTCCAGGGCTGAGTCGCGGCCTCTGCATGACACTGCGCAAATCTTATTTTCCTTTCTGTCCATGAGGTTGATGGAAGAAGGTCTCCCTCTGTAGGAAAGTGTGTGCTGTGCCACAGAGCCATGGAATAAATCTGCTGCAGCCTTCTGTATATGTATATTCTGTATATGCGGAGGAGCTGCTCTGTATTGTCCTGCTGGCAGTAGCCAACCTTTCTGTCTCTCTTGGTATCATGTCTGGGGGTATGGTGGAAGGTGGAACTCCATCAAGCTGTTTCTGCATCTGTCTCTGTTCAGGTGTTTCCTACATTGCCCCCCATCTCAACAACCTCTACTTCCTGTCGCTCTGCCGCCGCTATGGGGTTTACGCTGTGGTGCGAGGACTCTTCTTCCTGAAGCTGGCTCTGAGTGTTGTCATGTTCCTGGCAGGACCTGATCAGGTGTATCTGCTCTGCATCTTCATTGCCAGGTAGGGAAGCACTTCCCCTGCTCTCTGCTTCCTGGGAAGCAAAATGCATTGTCCCTGTTTTAAGAAGAGGAGTGGAAGTCAGGGAAGAGGGGGCAGGATCATACATAGGCCATGTGGTTTCCAGCTCTGACAGTACATGGGACAGGTCACTGCAGAGTCCACAGGCTGTCCTGCTGCAGAGTAAGGGAGGCAGTGATGTTCAGGAGGTCACAGACCAGCAGGACTGGTGGCAGCTTGCACCTGCATTTGCCAGCTGCTGAGAGCTTCTGTCCTCTGCAGCCCTTGGTGTGTGCTGCAGCTGCCTGTGAGCCACAGGCCCCGTGTGTCCTGTCCCCAGGCCTGTCTGTGTGGGAGGTCAAGAGTAAGGGTACTGTCTTGCAGGGTAGAAAGTCTTACTGATAGTGGTGTTCCTCTTCTGTAACTAGGGCACCTGAAATTCTTATTTCAAGTATGGGGAAACCTTTTCAACCCTTGCCATTTTTTATGATCTTACACATTTTTCCTGTCATTTGATAGCCCTATTCAGTGCTTTGCCTGTTGTTTTGCAGCAACCGCGTGTTCACAGAAGGGACCTGTAAGTTACTCAACCTGGTGGTCACTGATTTGGTGGATGAGGATCTAGTCCTGAACCGTAGGAAGCAGGCAGCCTCAGCCCTGCTCTTTGGGATGGTGGCTCTGGTCACCAAACCGGGCCAGACTTTTGCCCCTCTGATTGGCACCTGGCTGCTCTGTGAGTACACAGGTAAGGATGGTCCTGGGGAAGCAGTGGAGCAGAACAGGGCAGAGTTCAGTGTCTGGCACCTTGTGTTGTGTCCTGGGTGGGTGCAGAGGGCTCTTCAGTTGTTAACCTGTGCCTGGTCTCTGCATCTCCACGGCTGGTGACTCAAAGAGAATGGACAAAGATCCATCCCCACAGCCCCATTCTCACAAACTCTTCTCTGACACCAGGCTATGACATCTTCCAGCGCAACCCCCTGAACAATGTGGTGAGTGCCCAGCCGAAGCTGGAGTCTGCTGCAGCCTTGGAGCCAACTCTTCGCCAGGGCTGCTTTTACCTCCTGGTCTTTGTGCCCATCGCGTGCGCCCTGCTGCAGCTCCTCAGCTGGTCACAGTTCAGCCTGCGTGGGAAGCGGCTGCAGGTGGTGAAGGCTCAGCGGCAGAGCCTGACACAAGGCCAAGCACCAGAGGTCAAAACAATCTAAGGGTGCCTGAGCCCCCCAGGATGCTGCTGGTTCCAGGCTGGTGCTGGAGGGCAGGTGAAGGGCAGGGATGGTGGGCTGAGAGAGCCTGATGTTCATGGTTCAGCTGTGAAATGCTGTGATGCCAATGTTTGTTCACTCCAGGTGGTCATCACTGGGGAAGGCAGAGAGGTTCAGCATGTGTGGGGCCTGAGATAGATCGCTTGATCTCAGAAGCAAGAACATTTTATCCCAGCCTGTCCCAGGGAGCAGAGCTGCTCATTCCAGCAAAGAGGTGCTGGGTTGCAGGTGCTAGAAAACAGACACATCCCCTATGTACTTCTCTGCATTGGGCATGGCTCTAGGGAGCCACAGCCTCTGCAGCTGAACAGGAGGAGACTTCACAGGGAGTCCTTCACCAGAGCCTTTCACCCTTGTGCAGTGGGAAGCTTCTGAGGGACAAAGTGACCAAGGGAATGATTGTCAAACAGGAGCAGGGATGACAGGACCTTGAAGGCCTTTCCCAGTAGAGAACCCTCTGCTGGGAAAGGTAGAACCCTCCCACTTGCAGTGCTGTGGTTCTTGGACCAAATCCATTCTTAAGCATTTGTTGTTCATGAGACAATATGCTGCACAGCCAGGATCTGCTGGGTGTGCTGTTTTATGCTGAGGTTCCCTTCTCTGTGGCCTTGTAGAGGAAGTTGTTGCTGGCCTGGAAAAGGTGCTGGGCTCGAACTGAGTTCAGAGCCCTGAGCTGTATCATTTCACCAGGCATCCCATTGCATGTGTTTATTCCTCATTTGCCCTCCACAGTCCCTACTACTCAGTGCTGTCACACAGCTGTACCATGAGTCCCCTCCCATTCTGGGCAAGGTCAGGGAGCCAACCCCTAATTCAGCCACTGGCAGTGCCTCCCTGCCCAGGGCAATCCCAGGTGACCCGGTGAGGCAGCCTGGTGCCCTCCCCTCTTGCAGGAGAGCACAGCTTGAAGGAGACACCAGGTCTTGCTTTTGTGCCTTTGATTCCTCTTTGGAGCCTGTCTGACACAGTACTGGGCAGTCACAGGGTGGGGATTTTACCCCTGTGGGGAGGGGCAGACACCTCAGCTCCTCTGTGCTAGAAACAGTGCCCAAGTTAGATCATCTCACCTGCTGAGAGCAGGTCAGAGAGCTGCTGAGCCAGGGACCCAAGGAGAGCAGGTGCTTTGGTCTCCCTGGTTTTGGTTGAGAGCAGATGACAGGTAATCACTGAAGGGGTCCCTGAGGCAAGGGAGTGACTCCTCAATCCCTGTAATGTGTTTGGGGGCAAGGAGAAGGGATGTGCCAAAGCCTGTGCCTGCCTGCTGCAGGAAGGTGGGCTGGGCAGGCAGTGTTTGAAGCTGTTGCACGTTGAGGGATGTTCTTTGTTTAGTCCCAGGTTCCCTCTGGGGTCTCAGCCCACCAGCCTGCCATCTTGCCTCAGGACATGGCTGCCTTCTGTCTTGGACCAAGACATTCCTGCCATGAGGCTGCTGTAGTTCTTACTGGTTCAATCATAAGTGATTTGTGCAATTTCTGACCAAGTTTGAGAATGATTCTCCATTTCATAAATTAAAGATGATCTTTTTCTGAATTGCTTGATGATTTTCTTCTGGCCAGTGGCTTGAGCCTGGCTGGGTGGATGTGGTGCTGTGGGGACACAGCTGTGGCTGGGTGGAGACAAGGGGACAGCTCCTTCTTCACAAAACTGCACTGAGGCTTGGCTGTTTCTGCAGGGGGCAGAGGGGATTACCTGCCTTTGAAGGGATGCATCACTTACCCCTGCTGCTTTGGAAGGGCCCAGAGTTGGGCCTGTCCTGTTCCTATGCCAGTGGGTGCTGGGGACAAAATGGGACAGTCATAGCACTGGGCACTGTGCCACCTTCCCTTTGAGAACAACTACTCACTGCTCTCTTTGCAAACAGCAGTGGCATCACCCTTTCTCAGCCCAGGCTGCCATCTTCCAGCCTTTCACCTTTCTGCAGTGACAGAAGATTCAGGGATAACGCATGTAAAGGAGAGTAGATGTGGACACCACGGCTGCAACCCAGGAATCTCCTCCCACAAAAGCCAGACCAGGAATGCAATCCTGGACCAAAGATGTTGTCTGGCCAGCAACAATTCTGCATGGGCAAGAGAACACAAGTTACCGCCTTAAAATTGCAAACGTGGGCTGAGAAGGAGGCTTGAGTGTTGTATATGAATGACTTTATTTAAGTATGCTGGGCACCACCAGGCAACATGGTTTGGACAGTGTGCAAGGGAACAGTCAGGCAGACTAAACAAATGCTAGATTGGAGACAGCACCATCCTGCCCAGTCACTGCAGGTTACAAAATGGAGCACTGCTGCTGCAAGGCCAGCGGAGGGGCTGGGGGGATGGAGAGCACTGCCTGAGGCACACAGTAATGGAATGGAGGGGAATTTGCTGGAATTCCCCCGTGTGCTGCAGCAAATCAGCAAGAACACAACCAGTTTCCCAGCAGAAGGCTGAGCATTGATGGCTCTTTTCTGACAGGTTCTTGCTTAAAAAACAGTCTGCTCCAATGGGGCGAGGGGAACAAGCAGCCTAGCTTCAGCTGGAAGAGACCACCCTACCCACCTGCCTACAGCCTCTCCAAACCCAGGGGTGAGCCCTAAGAATGTGGTTCCTGCAGTGGCAACTGGCTGCTGCTTACATTTGTCTCAGCTGGGGCAGTGCACTGGTGGCCTTTCCCTCACCTCTGTGGCAATCCTCCAGCTCTTACCCCATCTCTGCACCTGAGAGTGACCCAAAGGTGATGTGTGGCAAAGAACAGAAAAGAGAGAAACAGGGAGGAACTGCCACCAAGTCCAGCTCCATTGCTACTGCCATGTTCTGCAGAAAACTAATGGGGAAAAAAAGAGAGCACCGAATAATGCACAAGTAAAACTGGAACAGTGGCATGCCCCAACACAAGCAGGTCTGCAGGCTGCCCAGGGCTGTTAGAGCAGTACAAGCAAAGCAGCCAGCAGGTGAGCAGAAAGGCACTGCAGTGCAGCAGAACACAGCCAGCAGGACAACTTCCTGCTCACACACGTGCCACCCACACCGGCCTCCCAGCGCTTTGCTCCTCTCCCCTGGTGCATTCCTAGTGACCAGCGAGTCCCAGCGGAGCAGGGACGGGGGTGGTGCAGGGCTGGCCTTTCCGCTAAGCGTGGGTGCTGTGCGCAGTGCAAACATCGAGCAGCGGGCAGCTGGGCAACAGGTGCTCAAAGAAGACCCAAAGCGTAATTCCCAGGTGCTGTGGTCAGTATTTGAGATATCTTCAGACATTTCAATAAATAAAACAATTCTTACATTACAATGCACCTTCCCAATTATTATTTTGCCCCAGAATGGATAAAGTACACAAGAGTTATGCCTGGCTGTGAATACATGCTCCCTTTGCCCTGACATGGCAGGAAGGAGGGAAACAGCCTCGACTCTTACAAAGAACATGAGAAGTCAGCACTGTAAATCTTGGCAGGTTGAGGGGGAACACACAAGTGCCTTCACGCCCATTCCGGGGTACTTGCTTCCAGAGGAGAAAAGGTATTTAAAACAAGGTACAAGAGAATAACCGTCTAGTACAATGATAGCTGATTAGATTTGCTTTGTTCTACTCCATGCAATACAAACTAAGTCCTATCGCCAACTTCTCCAGCTGTGGTGCAGACCCCACATCAGGCTAAGAAGTTACACACTCATACACACACTCACACACCAAAACAGTGGGGGCAAATGGACTTAACTGTTGAGAATGTGCTTTCTCTTAATAAAAAATATATTAAAAACAACTTCAAAAACTTACTGATGGTGAAGACACTGCTGAAGAAGGAAGTAGCTATGGGGCCTCAGCTATGTGTTTCCAGACAATCCAGGCATTGCGGTCAGGCTGACTAAAGCCTGCACGAGCAGTCTGCAGTGGTTGGCTCCCTTCTGGCTTGCCAGGCAGTTTCTATAAGCTGTTCCCTTTGTTTTTGCTTATTTGTTTTACAATGACAGATGTGACTGTGATACAGAAAATAAGGGACTGAAATGAGAAAGGAATGGGCCATTCTGGAGAAATGTAGATTGGTATTTTCTCCTTTCCATAAAAAAAAACCAAACCAAAACAAAAAAGTTAGTAGTACTAATACAACCCTCCTGCTGCTGTCGTCTTTGCTCAGTGACATCGGGGCATGCTGGCGCACACACACACACACAGGCAGCTCTCAGACACTCGGACTCAGAAAAGCGAGTTTAAGTGAGTCTTCGGAGGAGACTGAGGACAGGTCCCAGGGCTAGAAGGTTTTTCGGTGGATGGCACGAGCTCCATCTTCTTCATATTCCTTTTTCGAAACCCACATTTTCTTAAAGGTGTCCAGAGAGGCCAGGATAGAGCCACTACAGAGAGACAGGCATGTTACGGGTTAAAGGAAAATGCTGGGGGCACTCTCACAGTATCTCTGCAGAGATGGGCTGTTTCTATCATGATGCTTCCCCATGACAGTAAGGTGCCTAGGCTCAGTTACGCATGACAGACACATTCTCTGGACAGTCACTTCCTCTCCTACTATCCTCAAATGTGCCAGTGCTACAGAGCCTGGCACCACCTGCCCCCTCCCACATGACCTGGTGACTGCTGCTTCATGAACACAGCAAGCATTGCCCAGCTGAGCAACACAACCCCCCTGACACACAGCACCAGCTGGGATAACAACATGAGAGCTACTGGGCTGTGCCTCCCCAGCCCAATCCCACAGCAAAATGTGTTGCTGTACAGCACATACATACCCAATCCACGTGGAATACAATCTCTCCTGAGGAGCCGATATCTGGAAGAAAGAAAGAATCAGTCTGTACTTCCCCAAGCTCCAGTCTGCTCCTCCTAGCACACTGCCCACACTTCACTCCAGCTAGCACCTGACACAGATGTGACCTCTCCCAACAGAAAGACACCTGGCAGTCCCCCCAAAACAGCCACTCTTGTCCAGAATCCTGGACAGGGGTCATGTCAGAGGAGCCAACATCTCAGTGATGAAACCTAACTGATTTTCATCACAACAGCAAATGCTGTTGGGCATGTGAGTGTCTCAGGAAAGGCATTTCTGATTTGAAGTAAATGGCAGCTGCAGTCTGAGCGAGGTTTTTTCAAGGTCACAGACCAATACACTTGGTAAGTGACAAACACAAAAGAGATGGCTCTTACCCTTATTTTGACATCCTTCGGAGCCAGTTTCTTCACTTCGCTCAACAGCCTGTCACCAAAGCCTACACAAGACAGAAAACATGTAGTGTGAGCACCTCAGTAAAATCCCAAGTCCCATCCACTAACAATGTGGACATGGCCTGTGCAGTCCTATACAAATACCCCATTCCACATCTTACACTAAGTCCAGTCTGGGGAGGCACAGAACACAGACAATGACATAACAGGACTTTGTCTCACTGAAAGCTCAAACACTGGCACAATGGGCTCTATTCCTCAGCAGCAACCTGAGTCAAGCAAACAAGGTTTTTAGCTAGGACCTCCTACTTCCCTATGCATTCCTCCTGTGTCCAGCCCATTTGTACAGGGGGTTGAATGGGAAGACTGGATCTGTTTGGAGATGTCAACCACTGGATAATAGACTGATGGGTTCTGGCAGAGTGTATCTTTAGGTCAGCAAGTACCAACTGAGCCCTGAGGAGATGGGTTGAAACCTTTCTGCACACACATAGCTGACACTCATGCAGGACAAGGACCATTGAACTCTCACGTATCAGAGACCTAAAGAAACCTTAGAAGATGGAAGAGTCCTTTTTGGTATCTAGTCTCAGATATTGTGAGCTACAGCAGCAGGAATAAACACAGCTATTCAGTCCTTCCACAGGCATTGACTGGAGGAAAACAGTAACAGCCCTCCAAGCCCAGAAAGTGATGTACGAGGGCAGGTGTCCTGCATACCCCCAGCAGGATATGACTAGGACTCAGAAAATTAGGAAGTAAATGCCCTGATAGAGCAGAATTTACACAGCCCTCACCCCAGAGGATAAACTGGGTGATCTGGGTTATCTTCCCAGTTTCACATGAGAAAGAAGCAAGAGATCAGGTATGTCACAGCACACTGAAAGAGGAGAGGCAGGAACCTTTGAAAAGTGTGGAGCCTCCAGACAGCACAATGTTGGAGAACAGCGTTCGCCTCAGATCCATGTCTGACTTCTGAATGGCAAAAACGAGCACTTCGTGAAGTCCTTCACATTCCTCCCCTATCAGGTCCGGCCGGAACAGGAGCTCTGGGGCTCGGAAGCGGGCAGGGCCAATCTGCAAGAGCAGAAGTTAGGACACAGGCAAGAGAACAGTGTGGCTTTCTTCACTACCTACAGATGGGCCTGCCTTTCTTAGGTGAAGCTTCAGAGTAATGAAACTTCCTGGACATTGATGCTGCATCACTAGATCCCAAGTGAATGCCAGTCTGGACTACAACCCCTACAAAGGGCACCATTTCCAATTTGCACATGAAAGAGATGAAGAAACTTGTTCAGCCCCATACAGCAGGTCTGGTATAAAGGGAGCAAATCCAGCCCTGGTAGTGGAGGTAAAACCTGTATTTCCTCTCTTTTGACCATTCT